TGTGTTTTTCCAATGAGGCTAACTCTTGAAGTGTACGAATTGCGAGAAAAGGACTAGAGCTTACACCAAAGGTCACTGTGTTGAGACGATATTCTTCCACTGGATCATTAGGATCGAAACGCCAAAGGAGTCTTTGGAAATCCCTATGTTCTGGAGTCAGGTTTATTTGCAGGTACATTTGTTTGATGTCTGCCAAGAAGACGATTGGATGAAATCGGAACTTAAGAAGTATCGTGTTGATATCCTTTTGAAGCTTTGGACCAGTCAAAAGCACATCGTTCAAACTGAGGCCCTTGGAACCCTTTGCCGAAGCATTGAAAACTACTCTAAGTTTGGTGGTTGATTTTCCGGGTTTGACCACCGCATGATGGGAGAGGTAATTCACTAATTTGGGTTTAGCCTCTTGAGCCCTAATAAGGCTCATATGACCGTTTTGTAAGTATTGATTCATGAAATCAGCATACTGCCGATATAGAATTGGATTTTTGACTAATCGGGATTCTAAGGATTGAAAGCATCTGTAGGCGCGAAAGTAAGTGTCCCCTAAATCGGGTTCGAAATGGCGAAAGGGCAGCGAAACTACAAATCTTCCTGACTTATCTCTGGTTAAAGTCTTTTGGTAAATTGATTCGCATTTCTGATCATCAGGAGATAGGTAACTCTTAGAGGGTATATTTTCCAAGTCCCAAAATTTGCATATACTTTGTTCAAGCGTAGAATGCAGGGAAATTAAATAGGAATCGATCAGATTGTATGAAATTGGTCTAGGCTGTATATAGGTTTGTCCTAGTAGAACCCAACCAAAGCATGTTTCAAAAGCTGATGCTTGCCCTTGACTTCCAGGAATCCGACCTGATTTTAGAATTTGGGAGTAGATATCTGCTCCCAACAACATGTCTACGGGAGCAGGAATAGAAAAGTGCTCGTCTCCGAGTGTCAGGTTTGATATATGGCCCCAACTTTGAGTGTTGATTTTAACAGAAGGCATGTCTGAACAAAGTTTGGATAGAACTAATGCCTCCAACGAAAAGACAGGGTCAGTTTTGCCGATAGGCTTAATGGTGCAACTTGTAAGGCCACAAGTGTCGGAAGTCGATTGACTTATTCCGACGACCGGAATGTGACATTCTGTCCTGGATAAACCAAGGCGATTGAGACACTTTTGGGTTATGAAGTTGGCCTGACTGGCTGAATCTAAAACGGCTCTGATTATCTGATAATTGCCTCTCGAGTCAAGCACCTCAATCTTTGTAGTAGAAAGGAGGACAGTGGTTTGAGGAATGGAGGTAGCCATCGCTGCACACTCGCAACTGAGTGATTGCTGTAGTTGTGCACTATGGGGACTTTCCATTTGCGATGGACTGACAATAGAGGCAGGTGTACCCGATGAGGAAGGCGTTTGACCGTGGTGACTGGTTTGCCCAGTGTTTTTGGGAAAATGAAGCAAAGTATGGTGTTTGACGTGACATATCCGACAACTAAAGGTGGATGGACAATCTTTTAGCCTATGAGTAGACCTTAAGCAATTGATGCAAGCGTTGGCTTGCTTAACGTAAGCTAGACGCCCTGACGGGGTTTTACCTAGAAATTGAGGGCATTGCGATAATGAATGAAAAGGTTGCTGACATAATCGACATTTATATCTAGCAGGATCATGAGATGAGGACTGAGCAGCCATATTAGCGATATTTGGGATTGATTGCGGGTTATTTTGTCGTATTTGAGAGTCGTGAGCATTTGATTCAGTGTTCGCTACTAGACTTTGAGCTCCTGAGTGTCTAGGCATACCAGAATAGCTACCAGACTTCAAGTTACTTTGGTGATATGAGTTTTGAGGTTTTTGGGACCTGTTGAGATTTATTGGACATGGTGAACTCATTTGGACTGATTCGAGGGCCCTACAATGACTTTCGAGATAATTGGTAAGCTGTAGATAGGTGGGTAACTCAATTTTGCTATGCTCTATTTCAAATGCCGTTCTTGTAGCTGAGTCTAGCCTTGTAAGCAGCATATTGAAAAGAACAAAACACCACTGGTTGGTTGGAAATCCCAACACCTCGAGCGCAGCCACATTTTCATTAAAAGTATCCAGTAGGTTTCTTAAGTCTTTGAAAGAATTTGTTTTTTGAGTGGAAGTATTATTAATTGCATTCCAGTAGTTTGTAGCTAAATGCCGTTTATTCTGATAGCGATCTTCGAGAGTTTTAAAAGCTATTGCATAATTAGCATCCGTAGTAGGAATGGACTTTATTAGATTAAGGGGCTCCCCCTTCAATAATGAAATTAGATATTGAAATTTGGAAATATTGGGCAATGTAGAATCATGTACCATGGATCTATACATGTCATAAAATGTTGTCCAATTTTGTAAATTGCCATCAAAATTCGGAATAGTTAATTTTGGTAACTTCGCGGTGTAACTTGCCTGGTTTGATTGATTTGGCGCTAAAACATAACTACCTGGTGTGCTACTAGGTGGAAATAATTCAAAGTAAACCTGTTTTGACCCAAAATAATAACTATCTGCGTCTTTTCTGACAGCATCCTGCTGGTCATATTCCTTATCATCAATTATACCAATGATTTCATTATGATATTTTTGAAAATCAGAATAAGATTCTTCCAAATTCTCAAACCTTACTTTAAGCAGTGCTTTTTGAGAGTCACTGGTTTTGACTTTTTGTGCAACCGTGTACGTTTCTGTGATTCGGCTAGCACAGACGTAACGTTTTTTAGTTAATTTTTTGATGAGCGCAGCGTTTGCCGCCTCAGTTTCCGGCATGTTGATCGAAATGCCAAGAAAAAATTGAAAAAATTAAGAAAGTCTTTTTCAAAGCAAAGAATCTATGAAATAGGGTATATACCTAAGAATAAGGTATATACCTGGATTTGCAGGCTGTAATGTAAAACCTGTAAATCGTCGAAAAGCGAAAATTATAGAATTAAATATAGCGAAAAATTATTTTGAAATTAAGTAATACAATCATTACAATCTCATTATTAGCACCAATGTATCTACCTGTGCTTGCAATGCTTAAACTTATCGGAAATAATTGAGTTTTTTATTTAGTAAACAACTATTTCTTTTTTCCGTTTATTTGTGAAAATGAAATAAATTTATTTTTAATAACTGATAGGTAGGTGCCTAAGCGATAAGTTTTACAGTCGGTTTCAGTGGCCTTGAAATTCCTCAAAAATAGAGAATAATGGATAGCGAAAGTTTAGGCGCACAAACCTGCACATAAAAAACTTGCTTTATATGGCGATTTTTGCTAATAATTATTAATTATGATTTTTGATTCTAAAAAGAAAGGTTCAAATTTGGCTCGTAGGAACAGAAAATGTTGGTGTAATGGTTGATATTTTAGAATCACCTTCGGAGTTACGTGGACTGTAAGCGCAACTAATGAATATGTAGCAAAAAATAACCATACAAAAGACAATATGATAAAAGGCGCCTTACCTGTGTTTCTGGAGTTCTTCTAGTTCAAAGTTAATTGTTAATACCGGGATCCCGGGTTTTGGTTCGGTTACACAACACTACCGGCTTTTATTTCGAAACCGGTAACCGGCGAGCTCGCGATATTCATCGACTTTTTTTGTATGCGAAAAACGGATTGAAAATTGTGTGTTCGTGTTTCGTGTTTGGCGAAAAGAGAGAGAGTGTTTTGCAGTCGCTTGGCTGTACGAAAAAACTAGTGTTGTTCGTACCTTTTTTTTTTGACCTCGGTTCCTTTCCGAGTGCGCGGATGTTTCCTGCATAGGAGGCGCTATACCTATTTGAATTTGTATGGTTTTTCAATATGAGCAAAATTCGTGACTTTGACACTCTTGAAGAGATGCACATACAACATTTGACACATTTTTTAAATTCTCCCTGGGCCATTATTATCCAAACAGGGGAGCAAAGTTCTCATGAGAACGAAGGTTCTGTCTCAGTCGTCCATCTTTGTATTTCAATAACATTGACAAAAACAGAACAATCGCTCTCGTGAGAACGCTGTTTCCCGGTTTCCTGAATAGACGTCCTGTAAGGAATTGTTATGTACTCGAGACTATGGTTACAAATGTTATGAATGATTAGTAGTAGAAATTTGTTTCAAAAGTTATGGGTCAATTCTGTGCACATCTGTAAGCAAATCTTTAAATTTTTATAAGCCTATTATAGCTGCCTATAGATAATTTGGAATTCTGCACTTCCTGTAAATTACAGAATATCTTATGGGATCGTAGAAATTTCCCATCGGGTGTTTGGCAATCGATGTGTTTTGCGGTGTCTATAGGCTTATACTTATAGATACTTATAGATTTGCTTACAGATGTGCACAGAATTGACCCGTTAATATATTTAATAAAAATTTATAATTGTAAGTCCTATTTCGAAAACCAGTTGTATTATAGATTTCTAACACCACTAGTTTTGTAATGAGTCTCATAACATAACTCAAATACTAGAAAAATGGTTATGTAAAAACGTCATAACTAAACGGTTGTATAGATAAAAGTTTCTTCCTATGATCACATACGAAAATGACAGAGTCTGTTTTTTTGGAAAACGCCAAATATCATACGCGTGCTGAAAGTACTTTCAATATGCGTGCTAAATGTACTTTCAATACACGTGTGGAAAATACTGTTGAAAGTATTTGTGATCACAATTTACTATCAATAGGTACGTAGATTGAAAGTACTTTCAGCCCGTGTGTTAAAAAAGAAAAGAAATAAAAAGAGGAAATTGGTGTAAATCGGTTTCTGGTCGTAGGAAAAATGGTGTACATCACTTGTGAGAAAGCGTCTTTCATAAACTCGAGTGATTTTTGCACTCGTCTACCACCGTGAAATTTGTCACTTTCTGCACTCGTAATCTAATATACTATTATAGTTTGTCTGTTAATTTTACAAGTCAGTAGAGCCAGCAGCCTGTGAAAGTCAATTTTCATTGTTTATGGTTTGATTTGACAAGTGACGTTTTACAAATGAGTGACAAATAAACTTATTACCTCCATAGTTGCATAAGTGGTGTTCGTGTTATCATGATCATCACTACTTTTGGTTGAATTTTGATCGTATTTATCACTAACTCTGGTTAAATTTCGAGCATTTTTCTCCAATTTATTTAGTTTTTCCTGGATTTCGTTGGTTTTTAGAGATCCGATGGCGGTACCGGAAAGGGTCACCTTGGGCTAAGAATGTATTATTTGGAATTAAATTTGATTAAACAGAATTCAAGATGAATATTACCTCCAATGAGTTACGACTCGAGTTGTCATCATCACTGGTTGAGGCTAAATTTTCAAAATGTTCTTCCAATTCTTTGAGTTTTTCTTTGATTTTCATTATATCCATTGCTGATCGCGTGACTGCATTTTGATTTGGATCGGTGCACTGTAAAATAAAATTACGCAATTTAGAATAAATGTGCCAGATTCAAAAACATTTCCGAAACATCCCAGACTTGATTTTCACTTTTTTCAGAATCCTAAAATTATGCCTACCTGAGTAGGATTTTTTTTACATTCCCCACAAGATATGGCCATATTTTTTCGCACGTAACTGCCATTTTTATCATCTATTTCCAATAACTGTTTAGTCCTGTAATCAAGCTCAGATGATAATGGCTGTTGCCATCGAATGAGCATTTTAGTGACGCGGCTGTTCAATTTGATAATTTCAATATCCGAAACAAGTAGGTTATACTCCAATACTTTGTGATTTTCGAATGCTTGAACGAGGTTCTTTTTTAAATTTTCAATATTATCACTGAATTGCTTGAATTTAGCCTCTACAGCTTGTGATTTCTCTAAGAAAGATTGGAACTGTACTTTAGCTAACTCTAATTCTTGCGTTAGCATTTCTCTCTGTTGGAACAAATATCTGATTTGTTTCTTGAAAATAGTATTTTCATTTGTTAAAACTACTATTTGTTTAGTCAATTCCTTATTCTCTTTAAGCGCATCAACTAAATTTCTGGATAAATATGAGTGTTCTTTAATCGAAAAATTTTGCACACGATGCATTTCTTCTTTCAATGTTTCACATTCGATATTCAATTGTTCTTCAGTTCTAAAAAATATATGATTGTTGATAGAAAATAAATTATTCCTTGTAAGTATTTAATAAAAAAAATTTACCCCAAATCTCCATTCTCAGGAATAGACAGATTTGTTCTATACAACGACCTACAAGTTTTTGCAGTATGATCAATTGTTTCTAAATTGTTACCGCTTCGTTTTGCAACAAGATTAGGACAGCTTTTTTGAACATCACCCTTTTTAACAAAAAAAATAGATATATTTTCAACTATTTTAAATGCTGAAGAAATATGCTTACATTTTTGTTTGGCGATTGGTCCCATATGAAAGGTATTTTTCTTGAGCTTTCTACCTTTTCAGTAGGGCATTCGTTCAGTAAACATGTTTTACTAGTTTTTGCTGTAACATCCAAATTCCTACCATATCGTTTCAAAAGATTGTCAACCTTTGTTTGAACCTCAACCTTTTTATAAATAAAAATGATTTTTTTATTTTTTTAATATGTACTTAAAAAATATGCTTACATTTTTGTTGGATGATGAAACAGGTATGTTTCTAGAGCTTGCTTGTTCGGGATACTGGTTTAGTGAACATGTTTTAGAGAATGGTTCTTTATTTCTGCACTTCGAAAAAATACTCCAGGCTATTCGGCTTGTAATAATAAACATTGTGCATAATACCATGGTTAACATAACTAGGAGTGAGTTCCCAATTACTATAAACAGTTGACTTGTAGTGAACTCGGGTTGGTTTAGGTCTGGTTTTCTACAAAGTTCTTCTATTTCTAGAAACGAAAATAACTCGAATAGAAAAGAAGTGGGGAGCTACATCTGTTGTGGGGGTTTGTTTGGATGACCAAGGGACTGCTGAACTTCCTGTTTTCATTTATATTCATAATAATCCAGGCAATTGTCTTAGGTATTTAGAACGATAGGGCATATCCCCACAGTTAATTAAGCTCAGTCGTCTTGTTATTATTTATTACACTAATAAAATCATTTCAGACCACGAATTTGTGAACAACGTTAGTAACTGAACCACGTGATCAGTGTGACAAGTACTGTCATTAGATATTTTTGAGAAGATGAGGGGTTAATCTGTAGGTTAGCAAATAAATAAACAGTAGGTACAAACTGTTTATATAATTGATGACTATTCAGCTCCAACATGGTGGGGGTGACTTTGTCCAAGTTTAGACGCTCCAATATTCTCTAGTACATATGAAACAGCAGTGGTGTGAGTGAGTGTTTCTTAGAAGGCGCTGCTAAAAGCCGGGTAAATAAGAATAAAACGCGTGTGAATATGAAAACAAGTAGGTAAATTGAAATTTGGACACAATACGAGAAGACAACAGGATATCAGAGAAACATGAAATGTGAAACACGTTTCATGAAAATAGAAAGGACAAACAAATAGAAGTTCGCCCACTAAGGCAGGCCGGGGCCAGTCCAAAAAGGCCACATTTGACCTGCCAAATATTTTTCCTAAAAGCTTAAAATTTTATGATCGCCCAAATGGGCCATCAAATATTTTGAATACCTGCTGCTGATAAAGATAAACTTGGGTTTACCTGAAAATGTAATATGTATAATATCTAAATTATCTTTTAGGTAATTGATATTATTTAGATATCGGGGAAGTTAGCAACACATTGGAAGCAGGATCGCTCATACATGTTCCTGCTTGTGTTGCTATGGTCCTGCCTCATCCTGCTTCAAACCGCAATCCAGCAACACCCACCGTTTTCGAAATATATCGATTTCCATTTTGGTTGCTTTTACAAAATTATTTGCCACAGTTATATCAAGTACCTACCTACAACATGTTGCATGCGTTTGCAAAAATACCAAGATTTCGATTTTGATTTTTTACGACTAAAACTTCAAGTTTTAGGGACGATGCCTATTGGTAAATGGATACCTTGAACATGAATTTTTTTTTTTGACGTTGTGATATATTGGGTGTTCCATTAAAAATAGTGGAGAATTTCGATGTTGGAAAACTAATTTTTTTTAATTCGCCCTGTATAAGTTTTAAAAAAAAATTGCAACCTACCAGAAAAAACTTTAGGCCAAGAGAAATCGAATGGCGCAAACCGCAGGTAGCTAGCACACCTGGTTTAAAAGTTATAAGCATTTAAAATGGGTCACTCTCGGCTGGGACACCCTGTATATCGATTTCCATTTTAGTTGCTAACTTCACCCTTGGCAACACATTGGAAGCAGGATCGCTCAAACATGTTCCTGCTTGTATTGCTATGGTCCTGCATCATCCTGCTTCAAACCGCAACCCAGCAACACCCACCGTTTTCGAAATATACCGTGTTCCATTTTGTTTGCTAACTTCACCCTTGGCAACCCATTGGAAGCAGGATTGCTGAAACATGTTCCTGCTTATGCTGCTATGGTTTTGCTTCAAATCGTAACCCAGCAACGCCCACTGTTTTCGGAATATATCGATTTCCATTTTAGTTGCTAACTTCACCTTTGGAAACACATTAGAAGCAGGATCGCTGAAACAGGTTCCTGCTTGTGCTGCTACGGTCCTTCCTCATCTTGCTTTAAATCTGACCCCGGCAACACGTACTATTATTGGGATACAGCGATTTTTATTTTGGTTGCGAACTTCACCTTTGGCAAAACACTGGAAGCAGGATCGCTCAAACATGTTCCTGCTTGTGTTTCTATGGTCCTGCCTCATTCTGCTTCAGTTTTCACCCCAGCAAAACCTAATATTTTTGAGATACACCCATTTCAAGAAACAAGTCGTAGGAATAGGGAGAGCTCGAGACACCGTTGCCAAATATATCGTAATGAGTGCTTGTCTCTATATGTTGGGATTTTAGACGAAAAGGACAGATCCAAACTAACCCATCCCTCTGTAATAAATGCGAGCTTCTGTGTCTTGGTAATTTAGATGGGAAGAGCTAATCCAAGTATTGAATTGAAGGAGGCAGTGCATTCATCACAGAACTTCTCCAAGTTTGTTTTGATTCAACCAACCTCCCTTCTCATTACTAATCTCCCTATATAAAGGCTCTTGTATTATTGTATTTATTGTTTATGCTCCTTTATAGATTTAAGTTTTTTGATTTTTCATTATAAGAGTATTTTTTTCTTATAATGGGAATAACAATTTTCCATTTTTCTGTCCATATTTTATTTCTATAAAAAAATACTATTTTTTAATAAATATATATATATATATATATATATATTTATTGTTTAATTGTAGGTATTTGTGTTTTATTTTTACCCCATGAACATATTTACCCCACTAATAGCCGTTAGCACCGACCATTTTAAGGAAGCCTTAGCGATAAGTTTTCCTTAAAGTGACATTTCTCCACGTAAAAATGTCATTGGATACTTATCGCTAAGGCGTCCTTAAAATGATCGGTGCAAACGGCCATAATCAACTTTTTAACCATGAGCAACTGACTTTATTGTCACTGCAAAGTAATTTTATGGTCACACAAAAATACTTTATAGTAGCACCAAATTTACTTTGTAGCCACAATAAAGTTACTTTATTGTCATAAAAAAAACTGTATAGTCGTAGCAAAGTCACTTTATAGTCACAATAAAGTTACTTTATTGTAACAACAAAGATATCCTTTATAGTCACAACAAAGTTACTTTGCTGCCACGGGTAAGACGGTTCAATAAAGTTAACTCTATTACCACAGTTAAGAACTTGGCTGGAGCCTATTCTAAAAAAAAAATTAGCTGTGATCGCTAAAAAATTGGCAAGGGCCATAAGGAAGATTTCTCAGTGCAGTCTCATAGATAGGGATAACCTTGCTCACTTTCCATTAATCTGAATAGGTAGACGTTTTAAGAATTTAGACTGTAGTCCAATATAATCAGGGTTGTGGTTTCGCGGTCCGAAAGTAATCAAATTACTCTGGGTTTCTGCGAAAGTGGTTACTTTTGGACCTTGGTGACCTGAAATTTGGTTAACCAAATGTTAAAATAGTTACCGGTAATCAAATGTCGGTTCTGTTGATTTTATCTGTAAATTCTTTCAATTATTTATTATTTCATATTCGAGTTCCCCAAGTAACCGGAATTTTCAGTAACCATCTGTCAACCGATTTGGTTACTTTGGTTATATTCGGACCATATCCTAAATTAGAAAGAAATTCAAGTGGTTTTGACAGATCATTTTTTCCAATATGTCGGGAGAGTCTCTTAGGCTTTTTATGTAAGTCCAAAATGCTTTGAGATTTGTTTGTTCAAATTAGCTCCAAAAATTGTATTTATTTCAAACATTTTTTAATATTGACCTTATTAGGAGCATAGTGATCCAAATAAGGCCAATGGTAAGCGTCTTTGTTTTACGCAAAAACCACCACTTAAATAAAAAAGTAAAAAAATTGGGGTTAATATTCAAGTAATATTAGGCAATCCTATCCATCTGCCAAAAAGGAAAATTCAATATGGCGTGGCGGCCAAGCAAGTCTGTTTTGAATATGTTTTTATGCGTATTTTAAATTCTTTTGCTTAGAGTTTTGCTTGCAACTTTTATTTTGATTATTAAATAAAATATTTGTTGACTAGGTACCTAAACTATTGAATCAAGCAGAAATTAGATATTTCTTTGTGTTTTTTAGCTCATGTGTGGCCGCCTTGCCATCTTGAGTGTCACGTGATTTGGATTGCCTAATAGAAGCGAAACACTTCACATGTTAGGAAAAAAATAAAACTTCTAAACGTGGCCTTATTTGCGACAGGTACCTTATAATAGGTGTATTCTTTCGTTCTGAACAAACTGATCGTAGTCACTTGAGGTTTGGAGAAATAGATTTGATGAAATCAAATTTAGACATGTTATTAGTACTGTACATACTGTTGAATGAGGGTCTGAATGGAATTTATTGCATATAAAACTGTTATTTTTTTTTCACTTTTTCCCAATCGATCGGAGTTTTCGATTAGTTTTATTTTGAAAATGGAAAAGAGTTTCTATAAAAGTGAATTAATTGGGATGTGATGCGTAGAAATGAAAATTAAATTCGGAATCGAAGGATTCACATGCATTTGTTGAAAGTATAGAATCGGATGATTTTTTAGCCCGTCGTCTATGTAGTTATCAACTAAATAATCATAGTACTCAACGAGAAGCTGGTCTCTGGGCATTTCTTCAAAAAAATCCATTGAAAAACAGTCTACAACTTTGTTAGGATCCTAGGTATGCGAGACCAAATGGGTCACGTAGCCATTTGTGTAAATTGGATGTTTTATCTTTTACTGGATAACCCTAAATTTTAAATTTTCCGCCACCAAGCTTGAAACAGGTGAAATCTACAACCTCTTATGTAAGTCGAAGGCCATATATTTGTGACAGCTCTATGTATGGCCATTTCAAAATAAATATCTATATACATAAAACACAGTTGTGTTGGCTCTAGCACTTATAACTCGAGAACGGTTGGACTGATTTTTATGATTTTTGCTTTATTGGATTTGTCTTTGTCCCTTACAACATAATAAGTCAAAAAAAATAAATTAGGTACTTATTTTACTTATTTATGAAAAAAATTCACTAAGCCCGCATACGGCGCCATCTCTTATAACTGATACCAAGTTTACCGCCACATTTTCATTGCAAACCATTTTGTATACGGCGCCATCTCTGATACCTAGAACGAAGCTGACCGTTGCACGGTAATTTCATTACAGATACAGTAGAACAATGCTACTCAGGAACTGGAGCTATTCCGAACAGAACTATTCCAATATTCCGATCAGATAGAGTGGTGCAAAAAGATAGAGTGAAACA